CTTATGAATGTTTATTTATTTATTTTATCACAACATGGAAATATTGTAGAAGATGTAGCCATCATACTGAACGGATTTTCCTCTACATTCTGGACGTATCGGTTTGTTGAATTCTTCCGCTGCAATCCGGTGTTCGTAGTACTCGTCTTCTTCGACGAACCATGCCGGATATTTTTCACGTGTATATTCCACTCCTTTACGTGTTAGCAGTATCAAAAAATTTCGGCAACTCTGAAATGTTTTCCAAAATTCGTTAAATATTTTCAACTGCAACGTTATAATATTGATGGTTCCGTAAACTCCATCTGTGTCTTCATCATACGATTGCGGCAGTCATTGCAATCGTATTTTTTCATCACATGATGCACTATGTACCCTGCGAAATAGTTCATGGAGGTTTTTTCGTAGAATGACATTTCTTCCTCCACGTCGCCAGTGTTATTGCAATTTTCTTCATTCAGACGAGCACTGTACAAATGCAGTGCACACTGCAGTGCTCCGTCGTCTGCGTCTTCCTCTTCGACGGTCATTCTGTAATTTTGAATGGTATCAAAGTTCGAAGGAAGACATATTTCTTTTCCTATTAAATTTTTCGTTTCTTCCTCTTCCTCCGTTGTATTTGTTTTCTCTCCAATTCTAATCAATTTCTAACATAATATATGCCGCAAATTTAATCGCACCATACGTGCTGTTGGATCTAAGTTAAATCCGCTTCGTTGACGCAATTTTGAAAATAAGTGTTCGACCGAATCCTGTTTGGTCAACCCAATTGCGTATTTAAAATTTCGCAGGCCATCCTCCGCCGTTATTGATTCGAAAATTTGTAAGAATGCGCGCAACGTTATTGTTAGTCCCTTGAAACATGGGGCTCGCTTCATGTTTACATCTTTCTTAATGTCATCTAATTCATACGGTCTTACGCTCCAGTGTGCCGACCATTCCGCAAATTCACGTAGCGTGTTGTATACGTCCACGTCTTCTGCGGACAAAGGTCTCTTCTTCTGGCATTTCATATAGTAACAATTGCAATAATCAATTATTGCATCCATTTTCCTAATGAAGGCAGCGGTATTCGTCCACGTCGTACTGGTCTTCATTATCCCCAATGGATCACGTCCAGCGACTTCTATTGCCGCAGCCAATCTCTTCCCGAATATTTGGAAGGCACGCTTCACATTCATCGACTGAAACGAGTTCGGGTACAAATGAACTGTTGTTATGTGCGGCAACAATCTTAAAGAATTCATTGTATTATCGTAGTTCCACGTTTCACATATGTCATAGAATGATATTATATTTTCGCTGCCGACATAAATATTGTTGTGGCTTCTTAATTGCGCCACGAGGCGTTTAATTAAATGCGGAAAATCGAAGGTGGCATAATATGTAACTCCTTCGTGGACGAAGAGTGGTTGTTCTTCGGTCACTCCTAATTCTCGATATACTTTTTGATTACTTGCACATTGATCGCAAGTCAGGGCTTTAACGATCGCATTCTTTCAAACGGTTTAAACACACTTTCAGGAGTTGTATTATTTGTTCGTATTTCATCCCTTCTGGTCCTGGTAAGAAGTAGGCTACAATTTGTTTTCATCGGTTTGCAGCATTAATACTGTCGACGCAGAACACGAAAACATATCGTGCCTTTTCATCGCATCTACCTAAATGACCTAGATCAATGTGTCCTTCGATGCGATCTAAGTATGCTGAATACTCTTCCCATGCTTTTATTGACATCTCATCCCATTTCAGGGCGCATAATCTTTCCTGGACTGGTAGTTCCAGTAAATGACGTTTTATGAAACACATCATCTGAAAATCCGGTTTCTAAATTATAGACAGAGATCCACCTCCGTACTGTGCTCTCAGCTGGCAGGTGACAACCGCTCTTCCTCAGTTTACTGTAGGTCGACGCAGAATTGTAAAATATCATTTTCGCCAAATCTCGCTCTTCGGACGTATAATGCGCGTTCTCGCCTTTCAATTGTAATTTCACGAGGGCTTTTGCGACTTCATTTTTGCATCCCTGCTTGTCCAAAAATTCGTCGATAGTCTTCTGATTACGGCTCTTGTTGCGAAAATGAATTCCGTACTTTTTTACTCGTACAGGTTTCTGTTTTACATCCTTTAATTGTTTTCTCAATTGTTTGTTCTCTCTTGTCAGCCGAGCACATTTCTTTTCCAATTTCAGTTCATGAACAGTTTTCGTTACAGGATTCTCGTCGTTTGCCCATACTTGATCGTTTCTTTTCGGCTCAATTAGCCAGTCCATCGCAGTCTCATCTTCATCAAATATCAAGGTCGCCTTTTATGGCTTCCGAGAATCCAACATATATTTATCGAGAATTCGAATACGAATTCTCGTTACGCGGAGAACGGCGATTTCCTTGTGATGTTTACCAGTACGGCACACCTCATATAAGAAACGTTATACCGTTTCTTATAGCCGTGCCGATCTGATTTCATCGGAATTTTGTTTGTATTCGCGAGAATTCGTAATCGAATTCTCGTTACTTGAAATTAATAATTGTTGACAAGGCCGAGCAATGCTCTTAAACCTTGCGAAGCCTCTATCTTTAAACAAAAGGTGTTTCTTTTTCTGAAACACCTTAATTAGACAGAGATAAAATATACTCGATTTCTACGCCGCATCGCGGCGAAATAGCTTTCGTGGAAAGGAGACGCGGAGGCCCTCGTCATTCTGCTATCGGCATTCAAGACGCTCGGCTTACGGATTATTTCGGCAAGAACGATTATCCTTCGACCGATCCTGATCTCGAACGAGTGCATTCTAATTCGTGATTCTAGAAATTAAGAATTACCTTCGAGTAGGAATAATCACGCATTTAACGTGAATTCCTATTCGATTACGAATTACTCAGGACGGAAAGATTACCTTCCGTTCCTGGCGTTCGCACTAATTTTCAGTGTCGGAACAAGGACACGTCTATTTTATACGTATTCGAATCTCGGATGTTCCCGTGATCCTTATAGTTCTTATACGTAGCTGGTCGCCGGTTGAATTATACAGGTAGGGTTCTTCAGGATATAGTCCGAAGTGTTCTGTAAAGGGCACTGACCTTAGTTTGGCGGTCAGTTGAAGTCCGGCCTTACAACCCGGGCTTCCTCACGCAGAGTGGCTAGCTGCGTGAGCGCCTTGCAGAAAACGATCGCAGGCTCTGTTTCGGCGTACCGAACCAGTGCAACGTCAGGTCCTCCTCATTGGATTAATCGTGAGTTGAATTGACCCCGAGACGAGAAATTATTCTCGTCTCTCTCACACAGTCCACTTTCGAATATCGACACGCAAATTTAATTTATCGTTGTTGACTTTCTGTTTACAGGTCTCGCCGCTAAGGACGAGGACCGTCACGACGACCAGACGATACAAATACAAATCGATCGGTTGAATATTATTTGTAGCAATACTTTTGGGGATATCGGGCGTTCGCGCCCGGTGTAATAAATTGATATTTTTGAATTCCAAATGGGAATTTACTTCTATTTATTTCAAACCTGTCTCTCCGTTCTCCTCCTCGATATTCCGGACCCCGTTAGGTATTAACTCTAACAAGTGTCTTTGGTCATTAGAGTCGGTTTACTCATTTAAATAAAATTTTTAAAAATGTTAATGAATAATAAAATAAAACGTTTAGAAATATGTCTTCCACTTTCATCAATTATGGATCACGATATACATAGATGTGCGACAAACAGTTACGAACTGAGAAACGACTATCAATTCCAGCCTACATGTATTGTCTTTGACTATATAGTCAGGTCCGCTATAAAAGACAATACCGTTTCTTATAGCCGTGCCGATCTGATTTCATCGGAATTTTGTTTGTATTCGCGAGAATTCGTAATCGAATTCTCGTTACTTGAAATTAATAATTGTTGACAAGGCCGAGCAATGCTCTTAAACCTTGCGAAGCCTCTATCTTTAAACAAAAGGTGTTTCTTTTTCTGAAACACCTTAATTAGACAGAGATAAAATATACTCGATTTCTACGCCGCATCGCGGCGAAATAGCTTTCGTGGAAAGGAGACGCGGAGGCCCTCGTCATTCTGCTATCGGCATTCAAGACGCTCGGCTTACGGATTATTTCGGCAAGAACGATTATCCTTCGACCGATCCTGATCTCGAACGAGTGCATTCTAATTCGTGATTCTAGAAATTAAGAATTACCTTCGAGTAGGAATAATCACGCATTTAACGTGAATTCCTATTCGATTACGAATTACTCAGGACGGAAAGATTACCTTCCGTTCCTGGCGTTCGCACTAATTTTCAGTGTCGGAACAAGGACACGTCTATTTTATACGTATTCGAATCTCGGATGTTCCCGTGATCCTTATAGTTCTTATACGTAGCTGGTCGCCGGTTGAATTATACAGGTAGGGTTCTTCAGGATATAGTCCGAAGTGTTCTGTAAAGGGCACTGACCTTAGTTTGGCGGTCAGTTGAAGTCCGGCCTTACAACCCGGGCTTCCTCACGCAGAGTGGCTAGCTGCGTGAGCGCCTTGCAGAAAACGATCGCAGGCTCTGTTTCGGCGTACCGAACCAGTGCAACGTCAGGTCCTCCTCATTGGATTAATCGTGAGTTGAATTGACCCCGAGACGAGAAATTATTCTCGTCTCTCTCACACAGTCCACTTTCGAATATCGACACGCAAATTTAATTTATCGTTGTTGACTTTCTGTTTACAGGTCTCGCCGCTAAGGACGAGGACCGTCACGACGACCAGACGATACAAATACAAATCGATCGGTTGAATATTATTTGTAGCAATACTTTTGGGGATATCGGGCGTTCGCGCCCGGTGTAATAAATTGATATTTTTGAATTCCAAATGGGAATTTACTTCTATTTATTTCAAACCTGTCTCTCCGTTCTCCTCCTCGATATTCCGGACCCCGTTAGGTATTAACTCTAACAAGTGTCTTTGGTCATTAGAGTCGGTTTACTCATTTAAATAAAATTTTTAAAAATGTTAATGAATAATAAAATAAAACGTTTAGAAATATGTCTTCCACTTTCATCAATTATGGATCACGATATACATAGATGTGCGACAAACAGTTACGAACTGAGAAACGACTATCAATTCCAGCCTACATGTATTGTCTTTGACTATATAGTCAGGTCCGCTATAAAAGACATAGCCTACATATGGTAACGCAATTATGCTCGGGACTCAAAATTTTTTAGAATTGAACATATAAAGCATCACATGTACTATGTAAAATTTAAATTCTGTGGTTTATAATTGCCGCTGTTTGGTCACGTTTGTAGGTCCCGAAGGCGGAACTTAGCTATCTAATGTTGGTTAGCCTTTTTTAACATTGAAGGTCTATGCAACTGTACATATACATGTACATATAGTCAAACAGATCCAAATACTTCAATTAGCGTCGGACCACTCTAGCTGAGTATATCTAAAAGCATAGCACGTGCACGTAGACCGAGTAACGGTCACAAATGGAAACACTTGATCATAGGCAGGTATTCAGAGTCGTTGCTTATTCTTAAGATCGTCTTAGGTATTTACTACCGTCGTCTATCCCATATTTCCAGTCCCCGTCTTGTATAAGAAAAAGGGACTTAAGCAAATGCTCAAAGCGATCTTAAATATAAGTAACGATTCTGAATGCTGGCCATAGATCGGGTTACCCTATCATGTTTTTGTAAAATCGCGATTTTCATGATTTTTTTAAATATGGATAGTTGATGGATTAATTTCAAAAAATTCTCGCTTATACCACTCATATAGAACTACACCTCTGAATTTTTTTCATTAAATTCCATTCGTTAGAATCGTAGAAATTGAATACCAAATATCGCGAAAATTGAATGTCAAGGTGTTTACCAAAGCTGGTCCGAAATCCATTGAGTTACCTATATGCATACAACGTTATGTGTACATACCAATATCATCGCCTACAAATAAGGTCCTATGTAATTTCCTCTTAATTCGAATATATGTATTTTTTCAGTAATCGATGTGTCAAACTGATCTTTGTGTTTCATCAAATTTTGTTTTAATATTCTTTTAACAACTTACATATTTCTCTCTAGTCAATAATTTATTAGAAGTATTAATAGATGGTGTAGTGTAGTGATGTGGTAGTAATTAGTAGATGGTGGAATATTCCGTGTATTTTTGCTCTACTGTACTGCAAGTGTGCCTTTTGTAATTAATTTTCAAATAATCGACTTATTAACTCATTAAGTTGAATTTATTTAACGTGTTTATGTATATGTATATATACGGTATACATATACAATATTACAGCACTTAACAACAATTTAAAAGAAAACTTGACTACCACAGTTGTTGCGATTTCACAAATTTCTAGACCTTAATTTGATTGTACCTCCAACTTGCCTAGTTTTTTACCTTTTCGCGAAAAGGTCAGTTTTTATTGGAGATATAATATTATATTAAGTATGCTACTGCTCGATGAAAACCGCGGAAATGCGGCAATCTCTTACAGACGGAAAATAATGTAAACAATTCTCGTATACATCCAATACAAAGACTTATCCATTTTCTGTACCATAACATACATCGTAAAAACCCAAATGAAAATAACGTTTCACGCAACTAGAAATGGATCGCGCGTGTTTACAGAGAGCAATCGCTGCGCGGTTCTTCTTTTGTCTTCAAACAAAGTTGTCTACGAAATGTTCGTTACTAGTCAGTGGATTAATGGTGTCGGTTATTGATGGTTATGATTCGCGTAGCTAGGGTATGTGTAGTGGACTGTTCTTAATTTGCATGCTTAAGTAGGAATATTGTTTCTGTACATAAGAACCCACTCTTATCTTTCCCAATTCTCCCTTTCTGCGGCTTTTTTGCTTTTTACTTTCTTCTTTTGTCCGTACTTTGTACATACATGTAGTTTTTTCAATTTCCGTTTCTTTTGTGATTAACAATATGGAAACATTCGAGGATCCACAAGGAAAAACTTCACATTCATTCGTTAAGTCGTGGCTAACGAATGATAATTATCGTTTATGCATTGGCGAGGTTTTCAATTTCCAAACGGGAAGCTTTTTTACTCTAGAGCTTATAAAAAGCTTTTCCTGCAAGTCCTCAAATGTTAGGAAATATTCGGAATCTGCTAGGCATGAATTAAATTTTTTTTAAATAAATTCCGGGGGGCCTGTAAAGGACTCGAAAAAAGTTATGCATCAATGGCTTAAAATCTAAGATTTTAAGTCGTGGTTGCATAATGTCATCGAGGATCTTTATTCATCGTGCTGT